CAAGTCTAGAAGGGCAAGTTCTTTAAGGGCTCAGGACCGCCCCCCTCAACCCCCAACAACAACAACAAAAAGTCTTCCTTAACTCTTTGACGATAAGCGCAAGTAACATCTCTGGCCAATTAATTGCTGGCACCCATTAGATGTATTTTCCTTCGGCGACTCCAAATCCTATTTAGAGGACATCTTCACAGGGCTGCCTCTAGACTGCATTTTACACTCTCAAAGCCCACGCGTGCAAACATCCCAGTGCAGTCCCAAGGCGTCCAGGGACTCCAGGAACACCCAGCCTAATGCCTAACTGGGAGGACTCGGCCTCCTAACAGTGCACCCCCAACTCAAAGAACCTTCTCGGGTTCTGCCTCCCTGTCTCGAGCCCTCGCCACCTCTCCCCAGGGATGTCCTTCCACTTCATCTCAGATCCCCGCGGCCCAGGCCCCGCGCCGCGGCCCACTCCCACCCGCCGCCTCCTCCTGGGCTTGTTTTGCTGACACGAGTGCCACCCTCCAATTTTCCTCTCTGCTTCGGGCCTGTCCTCCTTACCCGCTGGCAGCGGGGCTTCGGCGACGTCGCCGGCAGGGCCAGGCTCCGCCGCGCCGCCACCCGCGGGGGAGGAGGGACAACTGTGACTGTGGGAGCACTTGATGTCGCGGAAGAACTTCTGGGTCTCTCGCAGGTTCTGCCGCAGCCGTCCCAGGTAGCGGCGGTAGCGGCCGAAGCCCCGGCACAGCTCGCGGATCATTCCGCCGCCTCCCGGGCCGGGGCCTGACACGGACTCGCCGGCCCACGGCAGTCCGTCGGCCTCCATCGCTCAGCCCGCTGTCTCCGCGGCTAGCTGCGCCGCTGGTCCGGCCCCCTCCGCCCGCCCCCTAGCGCTCGGCGAAGGCGGAATCCGCCTCCCGACGCCCCTGCCGGCACTCAACCGGGCCTCCAGCCTCCGTCACCGCCACCGCAGAAAGTCAGGGCGCCCAGCACTGGCCAGAACCTTTCTCCGCTCCCCCGCGGAGCGAGGGAAGCGCTCACCGAGGCACCGCCGTTGCGCGGGCTCCTGGGACTTGTAGTTTGGACTGGGTGGAATGCCACGCGCCCACGGGAAAGCGCGGGAGCGGGTGGACCCGACTGCTATCACTCTGTGCCTATACTCGTTTCGTTTAAAGTGTATTCTTGCTCTGTACACAAGTCCCTAACGAAAGGCAAAAACAGTGGGGTCCGAACGCCGGTAGATGTGGGATACCCCGAATCAGGTCGAAAGATTTTAAAAGTCTAAAGAGGAAACAAGACTGAGGCCAGAATATCTGTATGGATACCCCAAATGGACACAACAGATACTAGAGAATTGATTGAAAACAACCTGGGAATAGCGAAAAGTCTCCTGTTTGTGTCACAGTCTATGTTTTCTTTCTTTCCTGCTCTAGATGTGGAAGAGGGGTTGTGAAAGGGTGGATGAGATATAAAAGAAAGGACTGTTGGTTTCTTGTAGAGCCAGCTGGTTAAAGGGAAGTTGAGGTCTGCAGCCTTCTGAAGCTTTCAGATTATCTTACGAGGCTTCTGCCAGTGTGGCAAACTTCCATCACTCAGACTGTGACTGTCCCGAACTGTGTAACAATCACAAAAGACAGAACTTGACACCAGTCACCTCTTTACCTTTTTCCTGACACACGCGCACACACACACCTTGCCTTGTAACTTTAGGCAAGACCCTGTTTTATCAACTGTGACATCTGGACTACTTGATCTCTAAGGCTTTTCTGGTCCATAAGTCTAGCTTTACAATTTTACTTACACACCCAGCTCATTGTATCTTAAGTAACCTGGGCTCTTCACTAAATGATGTCATTATATTAGATTAATTCGATGTGAAATGTGAAGGCTTGAACAGGAACTTGTAGCGCTTTCTAAAAGTCCACCCATTCGAATGAATCTGCACTTCGATGTAGGCTAGCTGCAAGGAGGGAGCCCCACATTCCTTCCCATCTACTTCTTCCTTTGTGCATTCTCCACAGCCCATTCCTCTCCTCTATGAGATTGCATTCCCCATGCTTCCCAAAAGACTCAGTAAAGCAGAAGTGAAAACACAAAATGGTAGTTCCAAGAAAAGAAAGTTGATAGTGGTCTTTATAAATAGAACAGGGGCTGGGTGTGGTGGCCCATCCCTTTAATGCCAGCACTTGGGAGGCAGAGGCATGTGGGTCTCTGTGAGTTCAAAGTCAGCCTGATCTACATGTGAGTTTCAGGCTAGCCAGGGACACAGAGTTAGACCCTGCCTCTATTCTAACAAAGCAGTGTGTGAAGATTCTTCACATAAAAGAATTTCCAGTTAAGGGGATCAGCGGAGAAAACACTCAGCCTGGAAGATGGATCTTTCTGGATGAGATACACACAGTGAGACGTACCTGTAATCCCAACCCTCAGGAGGCTGAGGAAGGATAATCACAAGTTTATGACCAGCCTGGACTACATAGCTAGACCTCATCTCAACATCACAAAGCTATTCATTGGTACCTAATATTTTAAAAATAAGTAGGAAGGGACTGGAGAGATGGTTCAGTGGTTAAACGCACTGACTGTTCTTCCAGGGGTCCAGGGTTCAATTCCCAGTGTCGACAAGGTGGCTAACATCTGTCTGTAACTCCCGGGGACCTGATGCCTTCTTCTGGCCTTCATGGGCACTTCTCACTTGGTGTACAGACATATAGGCAAAACAGTTATAGACTCAGAATAAAAATAAATCTCAAAAAATTAAGTTAGAGGTTGAGGAAGGAGGATGGTGAGGTTTAAAGTCTGCCTGGGGTACATAGCAAGTTCCAAGCCAGACTTAGGTAGTAAGACCTGTCTCAAAAAAAAAAAAAAGATATAAGAATTCATACAAATTTCAGTTGATATAAATGGTACATGAGGAAAACTAAATCTCCTTTAGATTTTCTTTTTTTTTGAATAAACAAGTTTTATTTGTAAATTTAGTCAACATACATAATTGACCTAAAAACTTCAATAGGATACTTTTAAAAACCACTTGAAGGCCATCTCTATAAAAGGGATTTTGCCAGGACAGTAACCAGGTGTAACCTAACCCATCTTCATTGGCAAGAGATCCAATAAGCTGAAGCTGTTCTCTCACCCTCATGTTTAAACTCCACAAGGGAAAAACAAATTCTCCGTTTTTCCCCTTAAAGATTAAAAAACAAAACAGAACCTAATCCAGATAGAAGACCAAACAACACAATGAAAGCTGCACTAACTAGATTAGTAACAGGTGATGCTGGTGTCAATAGCTTGTTATTTTACTGTAGAGCCCTTATAAATCCCCGTTAGTGTATGTTACCAGCTGGAGGGTTAGTTAACGTGTGGTAGAATGAGGACTTATGCAAGGTTTAATACGCATAGCATTTTCTACTTTGTTAAAAACAAATGCAGTCTAGTCAGGAAATACCAACTGGACTAATTACACACACCTTAATGACAAGACTCCCCACCACTTGTGAATGTAAAACATTTAATTTAAAAATGTTGAACACTACAATATATAAAATAGCTATTATAAATGCACATAGTGTATTCTATAGCTGCCAGGTTTACTTTTTTTTTTTTT